AATAATAATGGATTCCTAACAGGTCAATCTAAAACAAAATAACCCATGATTATAAAAGAATGCAATCAAAATAAAAATGCCTATACCAAACTCTGATCAATTCTCACGTCCATTGGGGTTTTACCCTTCCCTGAAATATATAAACAACATAATGAGCTAATAGCCTATTAGGTGACATAGAACTTGCATGCAAATTGTATTAAATGCATGAAAAATAAAAATAACATGCATGTAATTATTCAAACCATATAAGCATGAATAAAATAAATTAGTATGAACAGTAAATATATGATGGATCGATAATACCTATCTTAATATGATTCTAATGTTCCATGTGAAGTACTTTATAAAATGCTTTTATATGAATCAATGCAATCATGATAATTATATCAATGAATTATATAAGCTACTTATGTAGTTGTGTCATATACAATGTTGAAAGTTTGTATGTAGGATGTTAAGCCTCGATGAACTAGCCCGAGGCACACTAGGAGGGGGGGGGGGGGGTGAATTGGTTGAAAAAAAAACTTTAATATAAAAATATTTTTTTTTTATTTTTTTAATAATTTAAAAATAAATAATATTATCACTCGATGCAGAAACAAATTAACAAAACAAGATTTATAACCATGGTGATGATGAGTTACTCTAATCAATAAATAATCAAATAGATAATTTTAACATGTAATTTCCAGAAAATTAAAGCACAAAAAAGTAAATTGTAAAAAGTAAAACTCAGAATAAACACACCATAATTTTATAGTGGTTCGTTAAGCCATGACATACATGCATCAACTCCCCAGAGTCCTCTTCGAGTATTGCACTAAAACTTTATTGTCTCCCCTTTATCCCCCACAGCTAGACGGAGAAGCCCTTACAATCTTTTCACCAACCTGGTGCGGGAGAGAACCTTGACCTCTTTTCCACCCTCATGGTGAAGGAAGAGAATCGAGCAATCCTTTTTTACCCTCCAGGTGAAGGGGGAAAACCTTGTAAGTCATTGGGCTGAAAATCTTCTTCGCGGCCAAAGCCACTCAAAAAACCAAGCAAGACACTCAGAGGAAATAAGGCAGAAGCTTGCTCGGAGCAACCGTGTAAAAACCCATCACACTCCTCCCTCACACACGAACTCTCGTTTCTCCTTCTCAAAGCTCTTTAAGATCTCTTCTCAAAGCTCTCTCTCTAGAAAACCCAACAGCCAAAGGCTTGAAACAAGTTTATTAAGAGAGCTTAAATACAAGGCTTCACAAAAAACCCTAATAATTCAATTCTATCGACACTGATTGTATAACATGATTACCAATCATATAATACGATTAGTTCAAATAGCTAGCCATGTTAGTACTGTACAAAGAATAAGGCGTTGCATGATCAGTTTAATTAATTGAGCAGTACGATTAGTTCAATCAAATTGAACTATCGCCTCATATAATTTGTGGTGAATAATTATCATCCCATGTAAAGATCTGGCCGTAAAGTATGATTGGTCCAATTGTACAGTATGATATGATTGGATAAATTAATCCAAATTCAATCCCCTAATTAAAATTTTAATTTAGGTCAAAATTGTTTATATCATACACTACAATGCATATCATACGGTATGATTTGTATAAATTTTGAATTTTAAAATATTGCCTAAATTATGATTGGTAGCTGAAATTTTAATTTCAACTGATCGTCATATATAATTTGAATCGTACAATACAATGAGTTCAAATAGCTTTAATTATGCTAATTAGTTATTATAATAATTTTTCGAATAGCTGATTGTATAATACGATATAGATTGTACAGTATAATTAGTTCAGAAAAAAAAATATACTTATATTTTTTCACTTTCTCACTCCCTTGAGTGCGTGTGCACAGTCACCAAGTTTAGCATTCGTAAAATATACGACTTTGAATCAAGAAATATAGAAATAAATAAAAGTTAAAATGCAGACTCTTAAAGACACTTAAACCTATTATATATAATCTTGAGTTGATCACTTTGCATGGTGTACAGTGGACTTGAAATGTTAATGCACAAAAGAAAATATCTAATAATAATAATAACAGGAGATGACATAATAGACAACCCAATAATATTTGTTATCATCAAAATCATAAGATATGGGTCCATATTTGCAATAACCTCATCTTTTTTTAAGATGACAAACATTATTGATTATGATTTCAAATTACTTTTGTTATCTCTTAAACTCACCCTTATTAGTTGAGTTTTTGAAAATAGGGTTTTTTTTTTTAATTTTAAAAGAATTAATGAGAAGAACTAGAAAACACATAATCATGAATAAAAAATAAAGAAAATAGTAGATTGATCATAACAAAGTAGAAATACAACCTACCAACAACATTCTACTCCTCCTTTTGACATCACCAAAAAGGAGGAATAACAAAACAACAAAAACAAAACAAACATGATAATGAGAAGAAAAAATATAGATAAGAATTAAAACAACACATGCTAAAAATAGGAAGGTCCTTGATCAGGTGGTGGTGATGGTGGTTGAAAGTATCAATGAATGGATGCAAACTACACTCCAAACTATGCCATATTAGTCTCATGATGTTGGTGCTGCTACGTGATGTAAGCGTCGAAGCGAGTCTCCAATCGATCAAATATCTGAATTAGTGTCTCATACTAAGAAGGCTGGTGTACATGCGCTAGAGTTGGTGCTGGACCTCCCTCTGCCTTCTCTAGTTCGGGGTCTACAAAATTAATATTTTGGCGATGAACACTATGAAGGACGTTGAAGGAACTATTCAAATAGAATATTGGAAGATGGTCGGGTGGTGTAGGAAATTGAAGATTGTATTTGGATTCCATAATAAAGGCAATAATATAACCTAATACAAGATTTGACTTTCTCTTATTTCTAGGATCTCTAATGTAGGTAAGATTTTCAATGTATCGAATAATTAGATTAACTGCATTGAAATCAATTTCAACCATGATAAAGTAGGTAGTGAGGGATAAAAGATGTGTGATGTTTATCCTATCGCCAGCTTTTGGAATAACTGAATTTCAAAGGGTGTGTTGAATGATCCGGGCATCTATGTGAAGAATGTGGAAATTTACTTAAGACTCACTAAGGGTGGTGTTGATAGGAGTTCAATTATAGCTAGGGAGAAAGACTAAAGAGTAAACTTTTTTATCATAGTAGAAAGGTGCATAATTTAATCAAAGTCTTGATACATGATTTCTACAAGCCTCCTATTGACATAAGATTGAAGGGTTGTACCCTCATTATTGATTCAAAGGATAGCAAATAATTCAAAGAGGAACTCAGTATTGAATGAAAATGCCATAGTAAGAATGAATTGAAGGGTGGTGCGAGCAAACATATTGAGTACCTAGAAATTCAGGACTTCTTGATTTATGATTTTAGAAGTAGTGATCCTGACAGCCTTATAATGATGATATGCTTTTTCATTTGCTGCTTCAGGGATATGGGGATCAATGAGATGTTTGAAAAAACTTCTTACGAGAGCCCTTGAGCGCTTTCCACCAGCCATTACAAAGAGTAGGAACTTATATAGGAAGAGAGAAAGATTGAGAGGAAGGATTGGTGTAAAGAAAATGCTTATGATTCCTCTCTTTAAATAGAAATTGTGCATATCGTACAATACTATATATGGAATTTAATTAGTCCAATCTGATAAAAAAAAGTTGGTCCTATCATATAGTATGATCATAATCTTACCAGACGATGAGTGTTGAAACAGTTATCCCGAGGCGTCAGCCTGGTTGATCGTGGACTGGTTGTATCGTACAGGACAAACAAATATTTATACTATACAATACGATATTAATTATCATATTGGCCAACTTTAATTTTTCCAACGACGGGTGCCATGTGGATCGTACAATATGAATGATATGTTCGTGCAGTATGATAACCAATAATTGATCAATCTGAACCATTGGATGTGTTGTGAGAAGTGATGCAACATTTTGTGAAGATCGTATAATACAATATAGGATTATACAATATGATTTGAGCAAATTTTAAATTTGTGTGTGATGAACAGAAAAACTTAAAAAAAAAAACACACAAATATGTCACAAACATAAATGAAAAAAGAAAAGAAAAATCACAAAACGTATTACATAAAAACACACAAAAATATTTAAGTTTTTAATTTTCAAGTCATCTTGAATCAAGCATGAATGCCTATAGTACATAGTCTAGTCCTCAAGGTGCTAAATGTGTCATAGGCAAGGGATTTTATAAAGATGTATGTCAATTGATTCTCAGTATCTATATGATGCATTTCTATATCTCCCTTGGTTATATAATCTCTAATGAAATGATGTCTAATGTCTATATACTTAGTATGAGAGTGTTGGATTGGATTGGATTTTTTGAGATACAGATGTCACTAGTGTTATCACACATTATTACAATTGTTTTCATCATAATAAAAATAAATATTTATATGTATAACACTTAGAACCTTCTTATTTATATATTTAACATCAAAAACTTATTACTTACTAAGCTTACCAAGTTATTAATTTTTGTAATATGCCATTGCTCCTACTTGGAAATGTGAAAGTCTCAATGATGAAGTGGTGTGGAAGCTGAGAGAGACTCTCATCAAAAAGGGAATCAATGAGACTTATAAATGTCAACCCTATACGACAAAGAAGTGAGAAAATAGTGACAATATATTGTTGGAGTAGATTATAGGCTGGACCGACCATGTGTTAAAGAAAAGCCCCCTACAAGGATTACGAGGAACATGATATTTTTTCATTTATTTGAATTTTTAAATGATATATGAATAAATATAAATATTTATGTATGCAAATCCCCATAATAAAAATTATATCAAAATTTAAAACAATTTGTATCAAACGTTAAATAAGTTTTATTTATCCCAAGAAATTTTTAAAAGCAACATTTATTTTGTCAAAAAAAAAAAAAAAAAAAAAACTTCTAGATCAATTAACCACAAGATCTTGATATAATAATTGTAAATTTGGATGATTAGAAGATCGGCCTCTTCAAGTTCCCCCAGATACAGCTGCCACGGTCGACGAGTTTCTGAATCCGATCGACGATCATCGGAGCCGGCAGTTTGAGTCATTAGTCTTCCAGCTGCGATTGTTATGGCGACGAAGGAGCGCATGGCAGTCGCTGTTAAGTCTCTTATTATCTTGTTTTGGGCTAGGGCTTGGTCCTTTGACTTCCGGCCGGCAGCGGCCCATCAGCTCACAGCCGATGGCACCGTGATCGAGCTCAACGATTCCAACTTTGACTCAGCTCTGTCATCCTTCGACCACATTCTCGTCGATTTCTACGCCCCCTGGTGCGGCCACTGCAAGAGACTCTCCCCCGTGGTTAGCTTTTTATTTTCCCCCTTTTTTCTCCTCTTATATTGAAGCCGGAAATTCACTGTATCCCGTCTTGTTCATTATTAAAGTAGGACTGCGGATTTCAATATTTCATAACCATGTGATGGAAAAAGGTCACTGTTGCGTGGTTGATGCATCTTTTGACAGAACTGGATTCGAATGGTAAAGATCGGAATTTCAGGAAAAAAAGGGAATTGACTGATTTCTTCCTATCTCTTTTATTTCCCAAAATTCAGTGAAATAAGCAAACTTAAATTTTGAAGGTGGAAAAAGTGGGCATGGTTTTATGGTATTATGCAGGTTTTTGCAATTCATCTACTTTGATTGAAAGTTTCTAGGAAATGCTTATGTTGGTTTGACCATATTTTCCAAAAATTTAGCTGCTTCCCCCTTTTTTTTTGTTCTGTGTATTTGTTATGTAAATTATAGTCTGTGCCTGAGTGTGATTAGTATTTTTCTTTTTAAACTTAGCAATTCTTGGTGGTTGACTAGTGCCTTGTTCCTGAGTTTCTGTTCTCAGCTCTTGATGGCATTCTTTGACCGTATTTTTCAGCTAGATGCGGTTGCTCCAGTTCTTGCCAATCTGAATCAACCGATTGTGATTGCTAAAATTGACGCTGACAAGTATAGGAAGCTTGCTTCGAAGCATGAAATTGAGTATGTGCTTGCCCATTTCATTAGTTTCCAATCTTTCAGCTATTGGAGTGGATGAATTGTCATTCATGACCACTATGAGATCTAGAAGGTTCTCATTATTCCAATAAATTTACACTGCAAACCTTGCATTCAGTTGAATGTTATTGTGTGACTTTGATTGGAAAATCATCTTTTTCTCATATAAGGGAGTATAGAATTTCAAAAATGTTTTCAATATTTTGTACACTAAAGAGAATTTGTTCTTATTGTCTTGGTGCAGTGGCTTTCCAACACTAAAGCTCTTTGTGCACGGTATTCCCATTGAATACACTGGTCCACGGAAACCTGAGCTACTTATAAGATTTCTGAAAAAGTATGTTGCACCTGATGTTTCTGTTCTCAAGTCAGATTCTGCTGTGTATAACTTTGTTGATGAAGCTGGCAAACATTTCCCTATATTTATTGGCTTTGGATTGGATGAATCCTTAATTGCTGAGTATGGAAAAAGATACAAGCAAAAGGCTTGGTTTGCTGTTGCTGATGATGTCTCAGAGGAAGTTATGGTAGCCTACGATTTTGACAAAATTCCTGCTTTGGTTGCCATTCATCCCAGTTATAACGAACAAAGTGTGTTCTATGGACCTTTTGAAGGTGGGATGGTCCTGAAGTGGGATTAAATTAATTATTATATTTGCTATTGTTTCTGGATTGACTTTTTTTACTTGCATTAACATATTTAATGCTGGATGTTAGCATATAAAGTCTAAGGGGATCTCCAACCGTTTTACGTTCTTCCATCGCTCCAACTGAGCGGCAATTTTGATGCTATTTCATCGCAGGTGAACAGTGCGACTGTTCACCCACCATTTGTTTTTTTTTTTTTTAATTCGAAAATTATGTAAAATGAAGTATGGGAAATAATATACTAGGAATATTCTTTTTTTGGTGTTAGAAAATGGAGTTCATTGGAGACAAGTTACTGCATTTTGGAGTGAAAAATGAGTTTTTCAATTGGAGATGCCCAAAGAGACATGGAATGTACACGCATATATGCATCTTGTCAGAAGATGAACTTCCTTGATCTAATAAATAAATAATCTAAAACAAATAGATGAGGATATAACGTATACATTCAATTTGTCAACATCTTTTATTGAAGCCCACGTGCTGCAAGGACTATGAGTGCTTCACGCATGCCATAAATGTCATGATTTGAGTTAAATGGGCTAGATGTCTTTAAGGTTCATTTGACGCCAATTTCTGGAATGGTTCACGTATTAGTTTCCTATTTGGTTGGGGTACTACGCTTATTCTTCCTTCCAAATGTAAGGATTATAATGTCTAATGATTTTCTCAATCTCTCTAAATAGGAACTATGTTTCACTTGCACTCAATTATTTCTTTCAGTTTGTTTGATTTACATTTCTCAATCAAACATAATGATAATATAAGTTTCCTGTTTTAAGCTTACAGGAGATTTTTTGGAGGATTTTATTCGTCAAAATCAATTGCCACTTGTTGTTCCCATCAAATCTGAAACACTTAAGCTGTTGAACAATGATGAGAGGAAAGTTGTTCTAACAATTGTGGATGATGAACTGAATGAAAAATCTCTGAAATTAATTAAGATCTTGAGGTCTGCTGCGACGGCTAATCGTGATTTGGTATTTGCTTATGTTGGGGTTAAGCAGTGGGAAGACTTCGTTGATACATTCGATGTTAAAAAGAACACAAAGTTACCGAAGGTGCTTGTTTGGGATAGAAATGATGAATATCAACTTGTAAGTGAAGTTTATCCCCTAACAATGCTTGTTGTTTTCTTTATCACTATTTTAGCAACGTACTTTTACCCAGATTATTTTCACAAAAGAATGATTCCTTCATATTTTCATACTAGTTTAACTTTTATAAAATTATTGTCAATAAATAATGATTGTTTCATTTTAGAAATGCATTTATTTTGCTTAAAACTGCAATATGATAAATCCACATACAACCTTGCTTTCCTCTCCTTTTCCCCACTCACAGCCACACCATGGTCATATACCATCTTTCTTGTTTAATTAAATTTGACATAGTTAAAAATTGTCATCCATATGTGGATTTAAATTCCCTAAATATTATTATTATTTTTTTGTTACTCCTAATTGCACATGTATCATCATCATTAGCCTTATTGCAAAATTTGGGTTAGCATTTAGAATCCTTATTTTCCTTTAATCCCTATTGAATGCTATTAGATGTGTTCAATCTATTCTTTGTAAATCATTTTGAATAATTTCTATCCATCTAATCTTAGGGTTACTTATTTTCCTTACTAATTTTCTAAAAATAATTTTATCTACTTGTTTAACAGACGAATTTGCTATCCTTTGTTATATATGTCCAAGTCATCTAAGTATTTTCAATCATCTTTTTTTATTTTCAATGTGTCACTCCAACTCCTTTTTTAATATAATCATTCCTTAATTTATACTTTTTTTATTTTACTATATATCTATTTTAACAGTCTTATTTCTTGCACACTCAACTTAGATATCAATGACTTTCTTATAGCATAACATTCATATCTATATGATATTGTTGGCCAAATTATAGTTTTATTTTTAAGCCTTCATGATATCCTCTCATCATCCCAATTTTTCCAAGAACTTCTCTATTTTAACCATCCAACATTAACTCAAAAAGTTATATTATTATCTATATTTTCATTCTTCTATATAATAGATTTAGGATTATTTAATCCAAACATGCCTAAGTATCATTATATCTTCTAATAATTTTAAATGCTAGTTGTTAAGATCATATCCATCAAAATTATGTATTGTATACTTAGTCTTTGTTCTACTAATTATAAGATATTCTTCTAAATATTCTCTTCATGTTCTAATTTCCCATTTATTTTAGTGGATATTTCACAAATTAGAACTATATTATTTACAAAAAAAACATACTCTAAGACACCTCAATTTGAATAGATTTTATAATCATTTTATAAATAATACAAAATATATAGATTTAACATTGATCCATGATCTAATACTACAGTGATTAGAAACTCATGGGTCATTGCATAAACTAATACTAGTTAGGACTCCTATATATATGTTTAATAACATCAATATATCTTTGACATAAATTTTCCTACCTTAAAGCACTCCAAATCAATTACTATGATTCTCAATTATATCTTTTCAAGATCAATGAAAATTATATGAAGATCCTTTCTTTTCATGATTATTCTTAACACAAAAATTACCTCCATAGTAGATCTTTCAGTTATGAACCAAATTAGTACTTTGAAATTGATGTACTTTTTATGTTTATATTACATCATGCCTTTCGATGACCCTGCTAGAAGAGTAGATGTATTAAATTTAACCTATATTAAGAAAGGTTGAGGTAGATCTAAAAAGACTTGGTTAGAAAATATTAGAAATGACATTTCTTTATTAGATCTAAATGAGAATTTGACTATTAGCTGGATACAGTGGAGAAAAAGGATTCATGTAGCCAACCCCACTTAGTGGGATAAAGACTTGATGTTGTTGTTGTTGCTATTGTATTACATTATGCCTTCCCTTAGCTTCAACATATGAATTAGAAATTTGATTCCATTGTAGATAGTACAATTTCAAACATCGTATTTTTTCATTAATATTGATGTCAAAATGCTTTTCTAATCATTCAACAAATGCTTTTCTAATCATTCAACATGCTTTTGATCTTATTCTATTGACAAGATATGTTAATTAAACCACTATGATACCCCCTAATTTTTCAAATTTCAATAGACATCTCATATGAACCTAAAAGGCTTATTTTATACATCTTTTTCAAAGCTAATTCTGCCTTCCTTTTATGAACTAATTTGTGATATATTTCATTTTATTGTTTGTTGTGCTCTTCCAATATAATTTGTTTCTTAAAGTTCTCATTTTTCAAAGTAATATTTTCATATTTCGTTGATGTCTTCATTTTTTACTAAGATTCTACTACGTTCATTTTAATACATCTAAACATCTAACTTTGATCAAAATTCTTGATTCTCTCAAATTTTACCTTACATATTCCATGAATCTCCTTTTATTTCTTTAGTTCCAAATCTATTATATAAATCATAAAAAATTATAAATTTTGTTTTATTCGATATTCTCTTTACAAGATGTAAAACCTCCTAATATTCTTTATAAACCTCTTTAGTAATTAATTTATCTTGTTTTTTAACTCAAAACTTGCTTTATAAGAAAAGGCCCTCTAATTTGTGTTCTTCCAAGCAGGAAAGAGTAATCATCACTGTATGAAAACAAAGTTATGCAAATTTTCATTCCCGTTGAGTGAAGTTAGCTTGTGTTTCCATGTTTATTTTGTTTACCTTGTGCCATCCATGTGCTTAAATTGCCTCGGTTCAAGTAAGAGTTATACTTTATTTGCAAGCAAGCGTGTCTATGTTAAATTTACTGAGTAGATGATAGCAAACCAACTTATTTTAAAGAATTGAAAACAGATAACAGAGGATGATTTTATTCAGTCTAGAATTATGCGGTGGGGAGAGGTTTTGAAGTCGTGTTTTTTAAGGAGACAATTGTTTTATTAAACCCCCTGAAGATTGTGGTTCATATATTTTGTTTTACTGTCATACCTTCAAAATTTTGTGGAGGAGAATCATTTCAAGTAAAAAGGAATTCCTCCCCATCAATTCATTCTTTTTCTTCGGAATCCTACAAGATCAACTCGTTCTTTTTTCTCTGACAGATGGTTATAACATTAGAACTTCATCTGGGTTTGAATCCTACTGAGAGGTCCACTAGAGATTATAAATCGTTGAAGAAAAAATAAGATGTTTCTCTTGTTCCTTCCAGGCGAGCGGAAAAGAAATAAATGATTGATATATTGAAGATAATTATGTATTTACAAGATACGGTCTCAATTCATCATTTGGAACTAGATCCGGGATGTGATATTGTTCCGAAGGATGAACCCCCTTGGATTATGACATTGGAAGGAGAGAATATGGAAAATTGGGTTGCTAAATAGCTCTCTGCATTCAAATGAGTCAATCTTAAGTCATCAGTAGCAGTCATGGTCCCCTAAACGCACACAACAAAAGCCAAAGAGAACACATCAACGTAGTAACAAAAAAAAAAGGGACCTATGTTGGAGACTCTTCTTGTGCGGCCCTACGTACTCGTGCCATTTCAATCACATATTTCAGTTACTTTTTTCTTGTTTTTCTTTTTTGACCGAGCTTTGGAATTGAATACCTCCTTCAACTACATAAATGTCTTTAAATTTATTAGTAATCATCTATGTCCATGGTGTTTCATTTTTGTGTCATTTAAGGTGTCCATTGTTGGTAGATTTTAGCTTAAAAACCAATTTGCATTTCTGCATTTGTATTTGACTTGGTATAGTGATGTTTAGGTTGAAGGTTCTGAGAGCCTTGATGATTTTGAGGATCAAAGGTCTCAGCTTAGTCTGTTTCTTGAAGGATTCAGAGAGGGGAGAACAATTAAAAAGGGTATCAGTGGCCCTTCTTTTATAGGCTTCATCAACTCTCTTGTGGGTATGAAAACTGTGTACCTGATTGTATTTTTGGTAGCTTTTCTTATGGTTATCCAGAAATTGGCAAAACAAGGAGATGAAGTTCGTTACAGAAGAGAAACTCAATCAGAAGCTCAAGATGTGAAGGCCCCCTCGAAGAGCACAGAGCAGCGAGACTATCAGCCTTCTGACAAGGAAGACTGAGTTAAGATCCAAATTTTTTACCAAGTTATTGAGGTTCTATTTCTTAACTGAATCATCTGTGTTTGATCATTCAAGTGTTTACAGCTTTTACCATCCAGTTCTCTTTAAAGAAGCTCACTTCTAGAAATATTGATAGGATACTGTAACATGCCCACAATATCAAGAACTTTGTAGAACAACAGTATATTTTAGGTGAACAAACTTCACCTTCATGTAAACTTGCAGAAATTTCTCCCTATGTTCAGATCCTGACGGCCTGATATTTCTAATAACTAGAGCATGTTTGTTCTGATAATCTTCTGCTGTATCATTTAAGCTTTATAAAACTGCTAAAATGCTGTTGAACTTCTCAATTGCAATGATTTAAAAAAGAATTCGCCTCAGCCACAACAAAACATACTTCAGAGGAAAACAAGAAAAGAATAAATACAGGTTGAATTCCATCACTAACCAGAGAATTAAGCATCAATAGGGAAATCAAGTTCATAAAGCAAAAACCATTGCGTGCAAGAATCAGCAGCAGTATACAATTACACAAACAATAGAGAGGAGTAAGTCATGCTAAATGAAGCCAGGGTGCAGCAGTAGATTGAAAGATTCCTCTATATCTTTGTCATATTCTGCCTTCTGCTTTCATATTTTGCATGAATGGAATGACAATAGAGGTACTGTGTACACGTTTGATGAATCAATAAGGAGTCAAATCAAATGACTTTCTTTCCAACAATGAATTTTTCTGTGCGGACACCTGACACCATTCGGAGGCCAACCAGAATGCGTCACGGCACTTTTTTGCTCGGTATCCAGCCCGTGCTGGGTACCGGATGATGTGGCATGTTTTGGTTGGCTTACGGTTTCTCCTTTTCAAGATGCCTTTTAGATTTTTCACCATACCAAAAAGTAAATTAAGACCATAAACAGACTTCTGATCACCTTCAGGTAAACAAGCTACTACTACTGTCATAGAAAAAGCAAATAATCAACAAGACACTTTGTGTTTGTATTATTAAAACCATTGGGAAAAAATATATTTGAAAGAATGATAGGTCACATCTAAAAGATAGACAAGAATCTCATGTTCATTTTCTCTTGTATGCTGGTCATCCTTTAATGAATAATGATGCATGGAAGCAAGGGAACATAATAGACCCTTGCATTCAGCTACCAATGACCAACTCATTATTGTTCTATTTCTCTCCCGTGCATAAAAGAATGTATGGTGGGTGAAAAAATAGTTGGAGAGTGGTTAATCAAACAAAGAATCATGGGACCATTCATATAAAATACGTGAATGGAGTCCCCCATTCATTGTGAGTGTGGAGCCTACAGAAGCTATTCAAGTCGGTTTCGAACGGAGAATCCTTTGGATCTCGAGCACTTGCTGCTGCTCGTCCAGAGGTAGTGAACTAAGCTGCTCTGGTGTCAACCTCATCAGCTGCTGCAGAAGAAACGACTCCTCTGATGAAATCTGCAGAATAGAAAGAAAGTTGATCAGGCTAAAATTTTGAAGAATGAAAACAAGATTGAATCCTCAAATTCTTATAATGTGTGTGAAATCTTTTATATCAAAGTTTATTTCAAATATTTAATATTTCTTCCTGATTCAACAAAGTGACAAAATAGTTTCATGTGTTGTTATTCAATCATAGCACATGCACATCAAAGCCCTGCATGGGATCCTGGTTGGGTACCCATGCTGTACTCAGAAAGGCTTCACCCACCAACGCCCACCCATGACAACTTTTGGGATGCCGTACCCACCTATACCCACTCACTTTCCATGCTTTTTGAATGTAGTCTGCTACAAACTCATAACCTTGAGGCTTGTTGCCCTTTGCTCTTATTGCAAACTTTCTAGCCGCATATCAGAATTTATCGTAATCACTGTGTGGTTAAGTACTACACACTACGTAGTGAGGATTGCAGTAATATAAGATATACGGTGATTAGCAATGTAAATTGATTTATCCCCCGATGTTGAGTACTCACTCATACCCACCCTTAAGGTCATGGGCGTACCCATACCCATTGGGTATGGGTGGGTATGGGTATGGGTACCCAATGCAGGGCTCTGATGCACATTATTTTAATAAGACGTAGTTGACTTCTCGTCATTGTGACGATAACCATATAAAACAAGAATATTAATAGATCAGTCTACAACTACTCTAACCTGGGACGTTGAAGGATGAGGTGAAAGTGACTGCTGCAGACTTGTATTTGGTGGGTTCCATTGAGGTTGCTCAACTGGTTGAAAATGATGAGTTAGAGAAGGCTGCGCTATTGGTAAGGAAACAATGGTAGGTAGTGAATGTAAAGGCTGAAGAGTTACACCAACAGATACTGTTCCTTGTGATGGAAATTCATTTTGTGGCAGAGAGGGCGGATGAGCAGGAAGAGGAACATGTTGAGGAAATGAGTGTTGTAAGACAACAGAAGTTGGCGATGCATTTTTTGTCTGATCTTCAGGCAGTTGGAAAAATGCTTCAGAAATTGCCTCTTCATGTAACGGGAATTGACCATGACGCGAAGGCGTCACAGGATTCAAATCCAATTTGTCTTCCTGAACTGCAAAATGTGATTTCTGGGAACTTGCCATTTGCATCTGGAGGTTTATTAAGCAAAAAAACAGGGATCCAAAACGTAAAAATCAATAATTTATGCTTGAATTATTCTGTTTGAGCTATTCAAACTTCAAGATTATAATGAATGAGGCGGACCATTTGTGGCGTCTCCATTCCAAGCATAGTCAGTGCCTGCATTGCAAAAGAAAACAATTTCAGACACCAACGGCCTTTTTTGGAATTTTGTCTACGATGTTTTCTATTTTCTATTATATTCTGTTGTGGTGCCAAGTCGATGACTGTTTGCTTCTACTTATTAAGTTTTTTGTTTATTTAATGTGATGGATGAATTTGCTTAACAAAAATAATTATAGAAAGACAAATATGTTAAATGTCAAAAATAAATATAATTAGTTATTTATAAGTAAAATCAATTAAAGTTATCTAAAAAAATATTAATTTAGGAACTATTTGAGATCACTTTTATTTTTTAAAAAAACAAATTTTTAATCTAATTTTATTTTTTTTAAATAACTATTTTTCTTTTAAAAATTCTCAAAATAAATTTGAGTTCTTTTTCAAAAGAAGTATAAGCACCGATAGCTATCACAACGGCTACCATTTGCGGCAACCCTTACTGCTCCATCAATGACCAACCTTGTTGTCATCTCCTCGCCCGCCACTATTGTTTCTCTATTGGTGACTGCCGCCATGGCTTAAAATTGCGCGATAAGAGGCGTGCCTTGAGGCACGCCTCAGCGCAATTTCACCCCTTTAAGCCTCAAAGCCTACACAATGAGTTCAGGATTTGAGGCGCACGCCTCAAGTTTACTGAGGCGCGCCTCGCCTCACGGTTAAGAGGCGCCCACCTCTAAAAATTAAAAAAGCTAATGTACATGCTCGATACCATTAGGTATCGCTAGGTACATACATGCTCGATACCGCTCGGTATATGCTCGGTACCACTCGATATCTTTCCATACAAACAACTTATGAACTTTAAAAACAAGCAGAACTTCAAAATTACTCTTACAATAAAAATTTGTTCCGGGGGCGCTGCCCTTGACCCCACGACCTGATCGGGCAGGTTGAACCCTGCCAGGGGGCAGCGCCCCCTTGGACACCCGGCAAACCAGTATATTGTTGTATTCATGTTGTCTTATTATTGGAATATTTTGATTTCACTTCATATTTTGTGCATTTTTATGTTTTACATATTATTTAATCATTAGTATATATAAAATTTATCATTTTATGTTTACGCAATTTTTTTTGATTTTGAGGCTTACGCCTCAAAGCGCCTTGAGGTTTACGCCTCGCCTCACGAACGAAAAACGCCTCAATACCCGATTACGCAATTTTAAACATTGACTGCCGCCAACACCCCTTAAATTAATTTATTTGATATTCAATAAAAAGAAAAATAATATATTTTAAGAAATAAAATACATCAAAATATACAACAAGAACAAAATTTTTTTCCTACTACATGGGGTCGGCTACATAAATATTTTTTCTCCATTGTCTTATTAAGAGTCAAGTTCTCATTTAAATCTAATAAAAAATATCATTTTTAATATTTTCTAACTAAGCCTTTTTAGGTTTACTTTTACCTTTCTTAACGTAGGTCGATGTAAGAGTGAAGCCGATGTTTTATTTGTCCAAAGCATCTAAGACAACTCTCTCTAACTTTATTTTGCACTAGAGCTACTCCAAACTTTTCACGCATATACTCGTTTCCCATTTTCTCTAAGAGTGAAGCCGCTCATCCACTTGAGAATTCTCATCTTTGCAACACTTAACTTAATTTTATGCTTATCTTTTAATGAGCAATATTCTATGCCATAAAACATTGCATGTCTCACCACCATCTTATAAAATTTCCCTTAAGTTTGAGGGGTACTTTTCCATCACAGGAAAGACATGCATTCCTCCACTCCAACCATCCAATTTGAATTCTACTAATAATATCTCTATCTATTTCACCATTACTTTGAACAATAGACACAAAATATCTAAAATGTGTACTCTTATTAATGGCTGATCAATAGACGTCACAATCCCCCCACTAGATCTATTGTACTAAAATTATACTCCATATATTTAGTTTTAGATCTTCTCAAACGAAAACCTTTATACTCCAAGTTTGACCTCCATAATTCAAGTTTTCTCTCAAATCCCTCTCTAGTCTTATCCACAAGAACAATATCATCAGCAAAAAACATACACCATGATACATCCTCTATCAAATGTCTAGTAAGAACATCCATGACTAAAGTAAAAAGATATGGACTTAAAGTTGATCATTGATGTAATCCAACTGAAATAGGAAAATACTTGATCAAATCACCTTGTGTTTAAACACAAGTAATGGCTCCTGCATACATATCCTTGATTACTTGAATATTAGAATTATTAACTCCTTTTTTCTCTAGAACTCTCTAGCGACTTCTACTGGAGCTTTATAATTTATCTTCTCTAAATCAATAAATATTATATGTAGATCCTCCCAATTCTCTCTATACTTCTTTACATCAAACCTCTCTCAAGAAATGTATAGCTTCCATAGTAGACCTAGCCGGCATGAATCCAAATTAATTTTGAGAAACATCAATATCAAACCGTAATCTATGCTCAACACCTCTCCCTCATAGTTTTAATGTATGAAACATTAACTTAATTCCTCTCTAATTCACACACACTCTAGTGCATCACCTAAAATACATAAAAATATAAATAAAATAAAATAAAAATAAAACTAATCTCAAATGATCCCTTAAAAATTAATGATTATTTACTTATAAACAAATTAAAATTATCATACTAAATAGATTTATAGAATGATTTATGAAACAATACTAAGTAATTCTTTTAGTTAAAAAAACAAACCACATAAAATTCATCCATCAAAAGAATTTAACATGATAATTGAAAAATAAAACACACAATATGAACTTGTTGTGATAATATAAAAATAAATTAGAAGTTACCCTTGTTTAAAAAATTTAATCCTAGTTTTGAATAAAAAAGATTATTTAGAAAACATGTGTTAGTTTTTTCATAACCTCCATTATTTTTTTAAAACTTTTGCACAGCTGAATATTTCCAACTGTCATTTTTTTTAAATTTGGCAGGGTGAGCGCTTGAACCAGGCCTATTAGAATTCTCCAATTTATTTCCAATCAAGATGCTACCAGTTCAAGCTCTTCCAATTGTAATCTTAAAACACATAATTAGTTTTTAAAAAATCACTTCCAATTGGAGCCCAAGCAAAAGTTAGAAATGAAGAGTATCACAAGAAAGACTGGGTTAAGATAAAATAGATAAGAGTTATTTATACATAGAAATTCCATATTGATGATATATGACCTCATTAAGTAAGATTTTACATTGTTGTCATCCATTTAAATTCTAGTGGCTGTAACGTTTGACTGAATCATCTCAGTATAAAAACCTAAAATAGAAACCATAATGAAAACAGAAAAATGGCATTTTCTCCTCACAAACTTAAGTTTGCAACGAATTCATGAAGAAAACATGCACATATTAATCTATTCATAAACCGTGCAAGATAAATATGATAATTGTAATAGGAAAATTTACCTGAACAAGTGCCTTTCGCAGCTGAGGATTCCCCTGCAGTAGTTGCTTAGCGGTAGCCTCATTTCTTTCAGCCAAGGCCTGAAGAATTTGGTTCAAATAATACACTATACTGTACATATGAATGTTTAAGGAAAAACATTTGAAAAGACATGAAAACAAGTGACCTTCATCTCCAGCATAACGTCATCCATCTGATGCCTGGACATTTTTGCCAGGTAAAGAGTCAAAGGATCATTATTGGAACCAGAAACAGTTGGAATGACATTTCTCAATTCAGGCTGTAGACTACTTTTTTGGGATCCATTTAATACGTCCGCCATTGCAGAGGCAGCTTTAGCTGCAAATGGGAGCCCTAACGGTTGATGCAGAGCTGCATCGTGACCGGCTAATGATTTCTGGCTATCTGCGAGTTCTTTTCAAAAGAGTAGTTAGCAGTGGATATCCTTGAGATAAAACAAGTTATTGATAAAGATGCAGTTTCAAAAATCAATAAAAGAACAGGAAGGACCTGTGACTGATTTATATGCTCGCCCACCCCAATCCTGTAACACAACAATTTTGTTTAGCATAATAGGAATTAAATTGATGTAACACAAATGGTGCACATGTAGGAATTGACAAACTATAAGAGCCCAAAGTAGAAAGTAAGATAGGGGTAGACATGAGTAGGGGTGTAAGTCAGCCGAGCCGGCTCGAGCTCGACTCGTTTATGGGATCGTGAGCCGACTCGAGCTCGACTTGTTTATGAGCTCACAAGCCAAGCTCACGATTCGAGCTCGAGTTCGAGCTTGAGCTCAGCTCGGCTCGTGAGCTCGTTGTTAGACCGACCCATCCTGGGCCGGTTGGACCGGTCCAGCAGGGACCGGTCCGCGTCTACGCGAGACGGACGCGAGACGGAGCCCGCCTGGGCGGAAACGGCTCTGCCGTGAGCCGTGAATCCACGTAGGCTTGAGAGGGGGAGTTTAGGAGGGAAATTTTGAACGTGAAAGACTGTTTTAGGAAGTTTATGATTGTCTTTTATGATTAATTTTGTATAATTAGGAGTTTGGGGGGAATTAGCTTCTCATCTTGAATTTGAATTGTTTTGAGATCTAGGTTTTGGTGACTTGGGCTCTTGGCTTCGCCGGTGATCTTTGGGAGAGTTTTTCCTTCCTCTCGAATTGAAGGAAAGTTGTATCTTGCAAGTGCTTTTCATCCGTTATCGAAATAAAAGCGTTTGTATTGTTTTTCCTACGTTTTCCAACGTTTCTTCTCTGTTTTTGGCTGTTTTCCTGCTGTGGACAGCAGTTCATCCTAGGTCTACTTGGTTTTTGGTGTGAAACACTTGGAAATCCAAGTGTTTCCTATCACTCGTGTGCCGGCTCGAATTTATTACATTTAAATATTTTTAAAAATAATAATAAATGATGTATAAATCCCACTCCCGCCTGCATGTCTTTCAAAAATTTTCAAAGCGTGATTTTGAAATCTGCTACTATGCCCCCCTCTCTCTCTCACACACACACATGAATAATTAATGCTAATACCTCTCTGACAGTACCCAAAAAAATCTGCTCAATCTCTCTCTCTCTCTAAATAAGCTCGTTAATGAGGCTTAAAAGCTTCAGCCTTTTCAATTCCATCAATCAATATACATTTATTACATTAGAGAAAGCTGCAGCTTTATTTTCTCCTAAATGAAAACCAGGTGGGAAAACGAAAACTGGGTGGGAAACCGGACGGGAACTTAGAAACCGGGCATGAAATTGAAAACAAGCACAAAATCGAGTGGTTTGACGAGCCAACTCGAGTTCGTTTATAGTGGGACGAGCTCGAGTTCGAGCTCGCCTTTTGAGCTCTACTCGAGCTCGCTTTCCGATTGACGAGCTGGCTCGATAGTGCTAAAACTCGACTCGACTCGATTCGTTTACACCCCTAGACATGAGCCAGTTATAGGTGCCCAAATGAGAACATTAGCCACCTGAAGTACATGTCTATAAGCCTGAAGTGTTGTAAACTTGTAATCTTTGTATTTGTGAGTTCTGCATGTTTTGAAATTTTTAAATTTTGAAATTCAAAATATTGATTTTGAAAATTGAATTTAAAATTATGGAGGGAATAGGCACCTGAAGTGAGCTGAAGAAAATTGATCTTACAAGAAATAGAACTGCCAAGTGACCTATGTTAGGAGTGACTTGTTTAACGCTTTAAAGTGAATGCATTACCAACTGGAATGTGTTAAGAATAGAGAGAAACTTGCTTTGAGTAGAAGTGTTGTGGGTTTCTCCATTACTAGTGATGGTAGCAAAGGAGAGAATAGTGAAAAATTGTGAGAAAAAAACTTGGTAAGGCCTAACCATGATATATTAGTTTGCATCATCTTTTTACCTTTTTATACTTTTATTTATCTTTTCTCTTTCACTTACTGCAATATCTCGAAAATATAAATTACATATACTTTGAAAATTTGATAGTTTGTGGTAATTGATTTAAAAAATCTATTTGGGAAAATATAAGTTTTTTGCCTCGTTGTTACAACCATTTCATAAATTAAATTAAGTAGAAAGGAAGATCTTAAATCTCTTTGGTGTATGTGATCACCTTATTTGAAAAAATAAAATTCTGCTCTCTAGCTTTCATTCAATAAAATAAATATTTGAAAAAAAAAGTTTTATTTTAATATTTTTTTAAAAAAATAAATTCACCTTCCTCTTGATTGTACCATACATTCACTATGACATAATACATCAAAGATGAATAATTAATTAGTAAAAACTAAAAAGTCGAGATAGTATTCCTCGCTCCTTCCTCCTTATTTTTCTTCTCCTCTCTTCATCTTCCCATCTTAATACCAATGTCCTTCTATTCCTCCTCCTAAACCCCTCATCTAACATTCAACCAAGCTTCCTCCTTCCTTCCCTACTCTATATGAAAACTCCTCATCCCTCCTAGTAACTGACCACCACTCCTCTCTCCTCCTGGTAACCAACCACTACTCGCACTATATTCTATAGCCACAGCCTACCAACCTTCCCACCTCTTTGCAAGCCAAATTCAAGATTTAATTTCATCATCCTTCCCAAGTCAAACAAAGCATATCATCATCATCCAAGGAGATCCATAGCCACCTTCATTATCCATTGGAGTTTCATGACTAGAATAAGGAAGCATGAGGTGTAATCCAATGCCTAGGGTTGCAAATGAACCGAGACGAGCCGAGCTTTAGCATGTTCAAGATTGAGCTCATTTGACAGCATATGTTCAAGCTCGGCTCAATAAAAATCAAGCTTTTGTGGCCCTTGTTCGCTCGAGCTCGTTTAAAAACCATTTCTCAAGCTCAACTCGTGTTCAATTTATACCATGTTTATTTAGGCTTATCGAGCCGCTCGTTGACAAGCTGGTGGTTCGGCTCATCCAAGCCCCATCGAACCGCTCATTGACAGATTTAGCTCGAATAGATAAAATAAAATCATAAATAAAGCCAACCAGCATATAGATGCCGACAGCTGCCTGCTGTTCAACAATTGGCCATCACATGTTTTTCATTTTATAAAGCATAATCAATATAGTCCATGCGGGAGAAAACCCCCATAGTTTTTTTTTTATGCCATGGAGGAGAAAGAGAGAGAGGCAGGTGGGAATTTAGGAGAGAGAGAGCGGGTGGGAGAATGAAAAAAATGCGAGAAAGAGAGACGGGCAGGTCCGGCGGGAGTTTTTTTTTCCAATTTTTTATCTATATATTTTAAAAAATTAGTTAAATAACGTGAGATTTAATTATCTTATTAGTCAAATAAAATATAATATTTATTTTTAATTAAATAAGACATAATCGAGCTTCTTAATTGAGCTTCCTAACGAGCATGTTCACGAGCTCTGAACGATACAATTCATGAACATAAACGAGCTATATTGCAAATCTGGACCCAAGACTTGTGATTTTGATGATAACAAACATTATTGGATTTCTCACTATGCTAATTGAAGTTATTGCATATCTATTTTTGCCTTGCTATCTAACATTTCAAGTCCACCGTTCACTTGCAATATAGATCAGCTTAAGATTGGGTAAACAATAATCAAAGTCTATATTTTCAGTATTTATGTACTTTTTTTATCATTCTTGAGTCAATCATGTATTGCGGTGGATCCTAAAGCTAAGTAACCTTGCACACACATACACACTAAAGGGGTAAGCTAGTTAGGAAAAAATTAAGTTTTTTAAACTAATCGTACAGAACGATTGTTAACCAAAAAATCCTAATTAGAGCACCTATACTAAGTAAGATTGATTAAACTCATCGGAATGTACGATCTCTATCGTACAGGACAATCAGTTATAATCAACAAAACATCCGCCAATCATAATTTATGTAATATTTTAATACTCAAAATCTGTGTCTAATAGTATTGTACAATATGCATCGTATTGTACAATATATGACAATCATGCCTATATTGATCCAATGATTAGGGAAACAAGTATGGTTAATTTGTTCAATCAAATCGTACAAGATGATTGGTGACGATAGTACTGTACAACTCGAGCGATGCATGGGACGATAATTAAATCATCACCTATCGTCCTAAAGGAAATGCCATAATTTTTCAATTAATCGTACAGGACGAACCTCCAATTTCGCACTGTATGAACATAGCTCTGCATGGGGCGATAATTAAATCGTCGTCTGTCGTACTAGATGATCAGTATATCTCTTAAACTGATCGTACAGGGAAATACATTTCGTACTATCTAAAAAGGTTGTTTTGTTCTATCGTACTGGATGATGTTCTCAATCGTCTTGGATGATCAGTTCTTCTCTTTGAACTGTTCGTACAGGGTCTATCTCCTTGTACAGTAATAACATGAGTGCTTTAAACTAATCGTACAGGACGATCTTGGATTGTACTGGATGATCAGAGTCGGCAAATTGAAATTTAGAGCTTTTTGAGAGGCTCTCTATTTAAGCTTTCACAGTCTTATTTCAGAAGACTTTTGCTGCTAAGTTTCTTGAGAGAGAGCATAGTGAGGGAGTTAAGGAGTGCTTTCGGAGAGCAAAGAGGGAGATTTGTTTGTGATAGAAAGTTGTGAGGGATTCACAATGTTACTCCAAGTAAGGTTCTTCCTTGTCCTCTTTAATCTTTTGCCTTGATCCTTTGATGGCTCCGGGAAGACTTTCCACAACACTAGTCTTAGGTTCTTTGTCTTCTTCAGGAGGGAGAAAAACGATTCTTGGTTCTTTGCCATCTCCAGGAGGAAGAAAATGATTCCAGGTTCTCTGTCTTCACCAGGAGGGTGAAAAAGGATTTCAGGTTTTTTTCCTTCACCAAGAGTGTGAAAAAGGAGTTTAGATTCTCTTCCTTCATCAAATTGGTGAAAAAGATTTTTTAAAGGCTTCTAAGCCTTGCTATGGTCACAAAAGAAGAGACACTACTTTTAGTGCAATACTTGGAAAGGAGGTTTCTAGGGAGCGCAGTCGTAGGTCAGGTTGGACCAAGTCACTATAAATTTTTGTGTGTTTTGTTCTTATTACTCTGCACTTTTATTTTTCTATGATTTACTATGTGGTTGACAAACTCTGATTTTTTGTTATTGTGAAATTAATCTGCTTCCAAATTAGGGGATTAAGGTGTTTGTTTTTAGATAATAAAAATGCTACAAAAAGATTTTTTTTTTTTTTAAATAAACAATTTACCTCCATGTTGGTTAGCCTCAGATTGGTTCTTTAATGTTTAACAACCTTCACGAACTTTCAAACAAAATGTCAGGTTGTTCAAGCTTGTTTATTTAGTTATCGAGTATTTATCAAAATTGTTTAAGCTTGTTCATTTACCTTATCAAATGAACATAACAAGTTCTTATCGAGCTGAGCCACGAGTAGCTCGTTGAACCCTCAGTTCATTTGCAGCCCTACCAATGCCATCTCCAACGAATTGATTTACATTAATCAGTGTTTGCTTATTTATGAGTATTATCGCATCCATGTCCTACCAGATTATTCGTTCCCCTCGACCATTCTTCCTCTTAATCTCTACCCATCTCTCCATGTGTTGATAAACTTAATCATGACCATGCATATAAGCTTTCGTTGTCTTTAATGAGACTCCAAGAAATACCTCATCAAACTTTAATGATACCAATTTTCATGTAACTTGATCATCAAATAAATAGTTTCCAGAATATCAAGAAAAGAATATTTTCAGTGTGCAAAACTTGCTATTCCAAGAGGGCAAAAGTTTGGCCAGAGTTTTAACAAACAATAAAATTGTGAAGCCATGAAACAAATCTACAAAGCTTTCAACTCATAGATAATTCATATGTTTTTAAATAAACAAGAGATTAACCTTGACCAGTTCCATGTTATGATCAACTCCTTGGTTCTCCATAAATTCAACTCTTAGCAGACAATCATTATCTTATAGCCTTGGAGATTCCGACAAGCACTTAAAAATTATTCTTCATCTCTGTACAGGAAAAACAAATGACCGTTAGGGGTTGTTTGATTCATTGACATTGTAAATCTCGTTGTGTTATTTAAACATGCCAATAAAATAATCAAGATCAAAGATTAGGATTTGATAATACAGATTAGGGAAAGCGCGACTGTCATAAAATAATCAAGATCAAAGATTTTAAATGTTGGTGCACCCGTAAAATGTAAAAACTCAAAATCTACCAATAAAGCCTGTCATTATAAATAGTGGGGGGAAAATTTTGCATTTGATATCTTGAATGAGAATAAACGGGATGCCAATAACATGTCATGAAGCTTTGCCTATAGAAACAAAAGCGTTATAGAGGAAATCAATCTTATCAGTAAGAAAGCAAGTGAGCAAAATGCCATTAAAAATTTGATAGATTAAAGTACCCACTTCCCAAGCAGATAACCTATTTGTTTCAAAATTGAAAAAGATTTGGGCAGGGAAGCTATAAAAGAGTCAAGAACGCAGATTTCATATCTTGAACCTCAAGCAAAAGTCCCAAACCAGAGTCGCCAATCCAAACCTAAAACCTCTACTACAAAGAATTCGAAAGGCGTGACTAGGGCTGTACATGCTGACCTAAAGAAGATAAGAGGACCAATCACCTCACAAATTCGTTATCAACTGTTCTTCTTTGGCATCAAAAGTTGTATTCCCAATTATATGAACAATGCAAGCACAGCATCAAACGTGACGCAAAATGATTCCAGAAACCAAGAAATGAAGCGTAGCAAGAAGAAACAGAAGTGAGAAGCTTTCTCTCGCTCTAGATGCAGCGATTTTCGAAACCAGCCGTTTATTTAGGATCAAAATACTGCAGTTATTTAGGTCCAAAGAACCCATTGAGTTCAATGCTATGAGCAGTGACACTATATATATCATTAGTGAATTTTAAACTAATTAGTGTTCGAGAAATGTGTTACTAAAAATCAATGCAAAGATTGAACTGCGGTAACAACAATTGCAGCAGAAGTGAACCAAATAAATATTTTAAAAATTTTACTTCAAAACATCTTTGAGAATAAGAAAAATTAACAATAATATTTTAATACCAAAATTAAGACTTAGCACTATAATTTTATTTTATTTTTGTAAAATAAAGTTCACTTTGCAACAAAGAGTAGTTCTAAGCAACAAATCAAAATATGCAAGAGATAAAGTAAAGCATAAAAGAAAAAAAAATACAAATCATATTTTTATAATGGTTTGATCAACCTGACTTACATACACTCCATGGAGTCATCTCCTCGGGAATTCCACTAACCACTTATTCTGCTCTCAATAAGGCGGAGAAGTCTCTCCCCTTCACAGGGACATGGATAATACCCTTTTACACCGCTTCTCTTCCGAGAAGCCTCCCTCCTGCACCCAACATGGTAGAGATGCCTACACCTCTAGCTTCCTGACTGACAAAAAGTCTTCCACACCAAGACTCTCTAGAGCACTTTCACTCAAGATCCCTCACGCTTGACAACCCGAGCAAAAAAGACATTGGCTGAGATGAACAACTTTGTGCACCACTCTCACACACCTGGACAACCCCTCCAAGAGATCCCTTATGTTCTCTCCACTTTTTCTCACCCTCTCCCTTAAATTATAGTATGATCAAAGACTCTTCCAAAGAATTAGTGAAAACCTTTCTCTCTGACTTTCATAGACTTTCCATCGTCAAAGAAAAAAGTTTCACAGAGACACAATAAAGACACCTGACACTCAAAGACATATTATATATTCTAAAGTTTAATTTTTTACATTATTCCTTTAAATAAATCCTAAAAATCTTGATTTAGTTAATTTCACAAGTTTATTGAACAATATGAAGAATGAATCGTATAATATGATATATTCAATGATGTCAACTCAAAGAACTAGACCATCCTATCTGAATGAGGTTCGTCCGAACAATCTCTTTGTTTGTTTGGATTGTATGATTACAATCGTACAATGAATTCTTCACAATGTTGGTGACTCATAGCATTGAATCATCCTGTATGAATAATGTTTGTCCAAATAAGTTATATGTTTATTTGTGTTATACGATTGAGACCATACAGTATGATATATTATCTAATTTGACTCATTGATTTTATGTTTCAAAATAGGTAAATAAGAATACACGGAATTAAGTTTTGTACTATACGAAGTATTCAAATTTTAAATTTACCTATTTTTTAAAATTTCATTGTTATAGTTATTTTAAATTTGAAATTGTTTATCGTCTAGTACGATAGAGGCTAAACCATATAAGGGTGGCCAGTTGCCCCACCCTTAAAATTCATTTTTCTTCTTAGAAGAGGGGTATTTTTGAGCCCCCCCCCCCCCTCTAAAAATTTTGTTTTGCCTAATATATGTCCAAATTACTCTTCCAAGTCCCTAATCTTGTCCCTCTTTTGTATCTCTCTCTACTCTCATTTGCATGTGCAGCAATGCAACCTCCTTAAGCTCTCTTCTTGTCTCTCTTGTTAACGTGGTGTGTAGGCATATGATGCCTACTTTAGCCTCATAGTTCGCACACTGTTCTGCCCACCCCCTCATTAAGTATTTTTGAGATACTCTTCTAACTTCTAAGCTAAATTATTTGTCAGAGTAACCTATTGATATAAACTTTATTGGTGAAAAAGTAGTATTCTCTTGTATCTCATTAGATTTTACTTCATATAATGTATTTTATTTTATTATTTTTATAATTATTATTTATTGTAATAATTACTATAAATATTATTTAATTAAAATTAATGTTACTTGATTTTCAATAATTATAAAAATATCATTTATATCCTACAATATGATTTGGATCATATAATATGATTTATATCATACTGTATACCTTATCTTATAGTCAACTATTTTAATTAACTTTATTTAATTTTGTACTAACCTTTATATGTATGTGCTTCATCAGTCAACCTACTATTTGTCTATAATACAAAAAGATACAAGAAAAAATAAAAAATAGGAAATACAATTTGGCACACATTTTTTCTTAACTTTCTTGACTTTGATAGACTTTCTTTGTATTTAATTCTTCAGCTTTATCAGGTCCTCGTTATGATATTCTATCACATTTGTGATACCGACAATGTTATTATAAAACTAGTCTCATGCATACATAACTCAACTTTTGATGTATAACCGATAATATTTTTAATTAATATACATCAGGCCCATGAGGTTCAACACAACATATTCTGATTGTTAAACTTGATCGCATACAATTCCACCAAAATTGTTTTTATCAACATCTCAATTTAGATATGTTATATTATGGATGTTATGCTATATCTGAAATTGCACTTTGTTGTATTATGACATTTTGTTATATCTCCAAAATTGTAGTATATTATATCTATTAAATTGTACTCTATGGTGTAATTGATAATTTTTTTTCTCTTGAACTACACTATATTGTATCTATTTACAATGTTCAAATTTTGCTCAAATATTGTTCAATCCATATTTGAATCATTTTCAAACCTTGTTAAAATATTATTCGAATAGGGTTTTAAATCTATAAGAATAAGGTATATGACTTAGGCACTATGATAAGAAATAAGACTAAACTAGTAACTTGGGATTATAACTAGATTGAAGGCATATATTTTAAAGAATCATATACTCCTGTAGCTAGGTTAGAATCTAATTTATCAAAAGGAGCTAAATGGGTTTATAGATTATACTTATCTACATGATGTATTTGCTAAATAAGTCATTATATGGATTGAAACAAGCTCCTAAGACTTGAAAGAAAAATTAAGTGCAGTTTAGGAAATGGAAGGTAAATACTACTTAATTTATCAAAAGGATTGGAGTTGATATGACAGTGACACAAATACATATCGATGACATTTTGTTTGGAGCTATAAAGGATTAATTGTGTTATGGTTTTGTCACTACTATGAGTAATGAGATTGAGATGAGCTTCATCAAAGAGCTCACCTTCTTTCTTAGGTTACAAGTGAAGCAGAAGAATGATACAAATTTTATTTGGCAAATGAAAAATGTCCATAATTTAATAACTAGGTTCAATCTAAAAGGATTAAAGTAATCTGGTACCCCATAAGCCCAACTACAAAGCTAGTAGAGATGCAAGTAAAAAGTTAGTGAATTTTAATTTGTATATAAGATTGATATGATTCTTATTATACTTAATAGTCATAAATTGAGCATCATGTTTGATGAAGAGTCCCACAAATTAGTTGTAAACAAAATACATATATTATAGGAACACCAAACATAGGATCATGGTTTCCTAACTATAAGGTATCATTCAAACTTGTGTGGTGTTTTGATGATGATTTTGTAGGTTGAAGAGTTGATTAAAAGAGCAACTAAGTTAATTGCTAGTTCTTAGCACTTCTCATAGCAACTTATATTAGACAATAATAACTAGATGGTTATATCTTAATTTAGACCACATCCCAATTTTTTGTGACAATAATAGTTTAATTAACCTAACAAAGAACCACTTTAACACTCAAGACTGAAACATACTTGGTGGGAAAAATTTGTGTCACCACGCAGATTTTGATTTCTCCTATTTTGTAATCGAATACTGCATTAAGAATAAAGTACAATCTCGAGAGACCGACACAATATTCTATAATGGATTCAATATCAAAATAGGGTTTTGAAAATTGATATTTCTATAATCAAACACAGTTTAGAGAATAACATATTATTTCGAAAAATAAATATGAAATTCTAGAGAATGTGTTTAAAAATAGAAATATTTTTTTTGAAAAATTATTATTCTTTTATTTTAGATATAGCAAGGAGAATATTATATCATCTTGAAAGACGAACATAACATTCTTCAAGACATCCAAAAGCAAGAATGAGTTTTATAAAATTCATCATTTCTAAAGTTGAATAAACAAACAGGAACATTACATTATCTGAAAAGATAATAATAACATCCTATTAAGTATATGTTAAGATTAGAAATGAAGTTTTTTAAAGACATCTGCATTCCCAAAGATTCTTCCTTGTTTTATATGAATAAAACAAGGTTTATTTAGTCTGGGGTTCTCAATCCTATAGGAGAAAGCCCTATAGTTAATTACATCCTAGGAGGAATGCTCCAAAGAACTCTCGAGTTAAAGCAGTGATTTTCATACCCTTTTGACTACAAAGTAGAAGACAAGGAACAAAAGTAAGGATTTCCAAGGAGGAAAGCTCAATGTTGAACATTTATTAGTGAGTCAAAAGAGGAAAAGTAGGAGACTGGATTCTGAGAAACTCAAGGCGACCTCAATCTACCCTATGTTGGGCTTTACATTTTAATAGAGAAATTTTATGTTTAAGTTGACATTTATTAGAAATTTGGGATTATATTCCCGGAGGACGAGGACTTAAGATCTAAAAAAAAATTGCCTCAGAACTTAAATCTAATTTGGGTACTATAAATAATGACCCGAACCTAACTAATGAAGTGCAAAATCTGGACTTATCTCGGCCTGGATTGGGGAGCCAGACAACACATCCGTACCTTTAAAAGCGCGTGTTTACGATTGTATATGAAGCGAAAGATATGAGACTGGTTAGTTCTTAATAATTGGACGAATAAGACAAACCTATTATCAATATTAGGGTGAAAATGTCTAGAAATGTTAATTAATATTTTAGACTCTTTTTTTAATTTTTATCTAATGCAATGCATGCTAATTGACTCGAATGCATAAAATGAATATGAAGCAGTTTTAAAATTAGGCTTAGAAAATAGGTTTTTCCCTAGAGACAGAACTGCACCCTCATAGGTCAAGTGGTCTGCCAGAACTCGCAGGCGGGGAGGTGCCTAACAAGGAAGAGAAAGTAATAATATGCTTATGTCGACTCTCGGCGATCCGAGCTTACTTCTTAGGTCGTTGAGTTACTATGTGAGCCTAAAATTTTTATAGAATATACAAGTAGAAAAATTTTATAGTACCCTTACGAAAAATTAATCTCCGATTCGAATCCAGGCTAAAACAAAACACGACATGCAAGGGCCCTAAAAAAAGCTACTGCACAAACATAAACAAATAAATTAAATATCCAAAATTATAATATCCAATGTCCAATGTCCATATTACACCCAGAATTTGCAGAAAAGTAAAGTGGCCGGGCACCACTGACAACAAACCGGATTCTAATCCTAAGAATGACGCGGTGATTTTTGAACTGGGATATACTGTTCCTTGATCTTTTATTTTTTTCGTCTTCTTTCTTCAATCTTCTCGTTCTGTCTTTTCTTCTTCTATGAGCTTCTTGGGTTCGTCGGATTTTGGATATCCAATAAAAAGAAACTCATCCCTAAGAGGGGTATTTTCTTTTCTATTTGGATATTGAATCATCCTAATTTGGCTTTCCAAATAAAAGAGAATAATCCTTTAAGGTATATTCTCTTTTCTTCGGATTCCAAATTGAATGTAATATCCTATTTTTCAAAATCACTTTCACAATTTATAATACTTTTCAAACGCATTTACATTTACATTACATTTCACAGAAAGAAAAGAAAAATCTAGACCACCTGCAGGGTTATCCTAAGCAATTTATAGTAAAAATCATCCCAAGCAGTTATATATTTGCATTTTGAATTAAATCACTCAGCCATATTTGGCCACACTCTTTTTATTTGGGGGCTAAGCAACTGGAGCACCTATAGCATTTATATAATTATTAATTAATTAGCCCCCTTTTTACTGCCCTGCATGAGTGTGACCACCTGCAGAAAAATCTTGTTAACAACCAATCGCTCCTAACCTACGGGTAAACTAATCGTCAAATCAAATCACATCACAAAGTGTAGTAAAGTAAGTAGACAAACATACCAACAATTTTACAACCAACATGCAATGAAAATCGAGAAAGCCCGTTCACACAGCAGTAAGAAAAATAACACCGGCCTAATCTAAATCTAAAGTCGTTTGTCCTAAAAACAATTCTAAGTGTGTGCAACAGTTTGTGTTTTGATATGTCCTTAGGGATAATTATTGCTAAAGTTTTCTAATGATTGAATTTTAGTTTAAAGATATTCACTAATCCTAAGGTGAGATTGTCACTAAGTTTTCTATATTATATATTTCTATCATAAAGTGTGCATGCATCTAAGTCTAGGTTTCTAAGACTCGTCCTTAATTATTGTTCTAAGTGTCACTACTGTTATATGGGATAAAAACATTTGTTATTACTAACCCTTAGGGCTTTGCGTGCGTATAAAAGGGTTTTGAGGATATAAAATAAAACAAAAATATCCTAATAAAATTGAAGTTACTACAGGACCTAAAAGGGAAGGGTTCGCACAAACCACATCAAGGGGCCCCTAAAGATTTTCTAAGTTTAGAATACTCATAGTCACCGAGGGCTATGACCCGGTGGTTTCGCCCGTAGCACCTCTACCCGGTTGGATAGAGGCGACTGACGTCATTAGCTCCTTGTCCTTTTGTTCCCTCGACGTACGTTCCTCGCAGATTATGTCAATAAAGAAAAGAAAATAGGAAAAAATAGGGAAGCAGGGATTAGAAAGCACGTTTAATAATTAATAAGAAAATAATTGAAATTTACTGAAAATAAAAGACATACCTTTCTTCGGGCTTGATCACCAGATTTGTTGCTTGCCTTTTTGGAACCTTTACTTTTGGAAATACACTTTGTAATCTTCCAACATAAATCTTGATGGCATGAGAAAGGGAGTAGAAAGGGAAAAGAGGTAGAGAGGGAAATTAGATTTCTTACTTTTCAACAATCACTCAAAACCACCACTCCTTAGCACAAACAATTTCAATTTTCAATGATTAACCAACATAACTCACTCCCCAATATTCACACACCCCATTTTCAACATAAGCATTTTTAAATATATATATATATATATATATATATATACATTTCATTTTTCAAATCATACATGAATCACCTTTCAAAACATGTGTTTTACTTTCCAAAAACATACACTTTCACTTTTCCAAAAAATCATACAATTCTCACCTTTCAAAATACTTCAACTTTCAATAAATACACATTTAAAACACCGTTCAACAAACTTACATCTCACTTCTTATAACAATTTAACCTTTAACAAATACACACTTTTTAAAATACAATTTGATATATATACATTTTATTTCTCATAATCTAACACTTATTTTTCACTTTCAAAACACTTTATCTTTCCAAAATACACACAAATTCCACCTTTCAACACACACAAATTCACTTTTCAAAATCACACATTCAAATTTGTAAAAACATGCAAGTTTTCAATTTCGAAAATAACACTTTCTAAGACTTTACTTTTCACCTTCTTACACTTGTCACCCTCCACTTTACTATTAAAAAATAAACCGCTTTACATCCTCCAACTATCAAGCTTCAAATTTACCATTCATAATCACCCTTCACTTTTCTAAATTATAAGAAGAATATATAAATGAATTAAAGCAAAGCATAATTTTTATGTATATAAATCTCTACCCATCATGCTCCAGCAAAATGCCCATATATATTTACTTTCCAATTCCAAGTTTGACCAAAAATAATTTGGAAGATGCTAAAATTTAAACAATAAGGTATTTTGAAATACCTTGCAGCACCTTTCGAAATATCTCATCAATATGATTCTTTCATAGCTAAATAAATTTCTAAAACATCACATTTTAGAAATATTCAAGACATGAATGCATAAAATGGATTTTAAAACTATAAATGCAGTAACTTGAGACCCATAATAATTTCACTTTGTAGCCACCAAAAATAAACTATGAAGCTTTTATCAATAACAAGAGTATTTATCTAATGATAATTTTCATTCAATGCATATGTGTCGAATGTTAAATGAGCAGGAAAAACATGCATGAATTTTATTTCTTACAAGCATCCATGTCCTTCATCATGATTACAAATTCTAGCATGCTTTGTAGCGACTTTATACTTCAATTATGCTTATAACCCATCTAATAATTTCTCAAACCATTGACCATCACAAATATATAAAAATAATTGAATCATGTTTGTACATACAAGCTCTCATATATGGTCACTAAAGTAGTTCAAATAGAATAATGCAACCATCTATAATAAGTACGGTGCAAACATTTAAAGAAAAATAAATAGCAATCATTTAGAGAAAATTAAGTAATGTAATTATTTTATCTTAATGGAAGATAAAGATATTATCAATCAATTTGGAAAACTAAACCAGATGCTCACAATTAATGCTCTTACATACAATTGAAGAGGGCAGGCGTTGTCAGAAAGCTGGAGTGGAATTGCAAACTGGTGTGAGAGTTGGATTGGAGTCCGGCGTGAACAAACCATGCGAATGGAGTCGGGTCCGGCTGAATTTTTAGAAAAATTGGGAGGCGACGAGGCTAGGAGCTTTCTCACGCGAACTGGGAGCAAGCCTTCGCGAATCAGAGTGAGGGAGACGGGGTGGAGTTCGGCCTGGAGGCGTGCGGCTTCTTGCGAACTGAGAAAAGGAGAAGGGGCTAGGGAGCGGATGAACCCGAGGCTTATGAACGGCTGGGAGGAGAAAAATGGCTGAAGGGGATTTCGGAACTGTCGAGAGAAGAGCGAATGGGAGCCTGGGAGTTGCGAACTGCAGTGAAAGAGAGCCGGGACTGGGTGGTTTCCGAAATGAGAGGGAGATCGTGTGGAGATGGTTAGACCGGCTCAATCAAATTCAAAACCATTTTTTTTTAATTCAAAATCAATGGCTAGGATTAAATCGTATCTAAAAATGAATTTAGGAGTTAGTTTATAATTCAAAATGGTTTAGAGATTAATTTAGAAAATAATTGATTATTTAAAAATACATATTTTGAGTTAATTTTAAAATAGAAATAATTAAAAAATACTAATTTTATCTCATTTATAACGATTTGAATTTGATTGAGTCGTGCGAACTGATTTAGGCCGAATTAAAAGATCGAGTCCGTGCTACGTCATTAGGTATCCACCTAAGGGAAATCCTGCGTGTGACGTCTATTCTAGGCTACGAGAACCTAGGTGCTAGAATTGAATTCGGGGAAATTGACCTCGAATAATGAGGTCAACAATACTGAGATTTGTCATCGCTTTATTCAAGATTATCTAGCTCTGGGTTATATTGTTTTGGAGTTTATCAACACATACCACTAGCTTGTAGACATCTTCACTAAGCTCTTAGCTAAAAATTATTTTTGTTCCCTTAGGTGATGATTAGGTATACTAGATCCTTCACTTTAGATATTTTGATATAGCTTACTAAATTTCATTCAAGTTATCCTTAGGGCATCTCCAACCGAACGGCAAATACTTGTTTACCGTTCTTGCTTTGCTCCAACCGATCGCCATTTTTGACGCCATTTGATCGCGGATGAACAGTGCCACGCCAATATTGGCGTTGCACTGTTCATGTGCTCCATTTTTTTCCTCTCTACCGAACAGGTTGGGAAGAAAAGCGCGAAAGAAAACAAACGGTTTTAGCGGCAAAATGGCGTTGGATTGGAGATGAAACACGGCATTTTTTTATTTTCCTACATTTTGGAATGAAAAATGAGATTTTCGGTTGGAGATGCCCTTAGGCCACATCTAGGTTCAAATTAAAAATTCTTCAAAAATTGTATTACTTAGAATTTGAGCCCATTAACATATGCGCATCACCTATAGTGAGCCCCTGTTAAGATTTTGTTTGGGATAACTTTCTTACTGCATTCAAAACCAACTTTCTAGTTAAAAAGTTTCAAGTTCCATATATATATATATATATATATATATACTAAAAATCAGTTAACAAAGAGACTCCTTAGAACTGGGAGCCATTTATAGGCATCATAAATGCCTAACAAATTTTGAGCACCTAATTAAGATCAATTATGGCTAATTAAACATATTTAAGATTTTCTTTACTTTTTTTATTTGTACATTCTTTGGGGGAGATTTTGGACACGCATGTAGAGAGAAGCATAGACAACCTTTTGATTGGATCTCCACCAATATTGTATTTGATGTAGCACAAAATATAACCTAAGACTTAAATTTTACAAATACTTGAACAAAAAACTATAGCAACAAAGTATTATACATCAACCATAAACATAAAAAAAACAAGTATTAATTTTTAATCTTAAATTGGCTTATCATTATAGGATCTCTCTATGTCTCTTGTTTCCTTATGCTATATCATTTCAAAAATTCTTATTATTTCTATGTTTCTTGTTTCCTTATGCTATATCATTTCAAATTTTATTATTATTTTTTTACTTTATTTATATTCAAAAATAAATTTAGTATAAAAAATTATTATACACCAACCATAAAACATTTAAATACAAATATTAATTTTTAATCTTAAATTGGCCTCTCGTCATAGGCTATTTCACCTTCAGCTCCCTCTATTATGCTGCATCAGTATTACACCAAACTCTCTATAGGAATTATGTTGCAAATCTGGACATAAGTCTTGTGATTTTGATGATAACAAATATTATTGAATTTTTCATTATGTTATTTCAATCTATTGCATATATGTTAATTTGACTTGACAATCTAGTTATATCATCTTAAGTAGGCTCCCCTTTAAATTTAGCCATACCTTATGCATTATTTTAAGAAATTTCATGAAACTTCCAAAATTTATAAAATTTTATTTGTTATCCAAATTTAGTATATATACCCTCCATGAAAAAAAAAAAGAGCCAAGAATATTTAAAAAAAAATAGAATCATAGGGGTTTTAATTAACCTTATGCATTATTTTAAGTAAATAAGGTGTAGGGTTAATTAGGTAATTAGCAATGTTAATCACCACAAATTCATTATGACATGTCTTTGATGTCTCCTATTTTTCTCATTAGGAGCATATATGAGCCTTGGATGAATTTTCAAAATCAAAGACCATCTAATTAATGATCCTTAACTTCCAAGAATTACTCATAATTCTCCATACCTCCAAATGGCTTGAAATTTTCATTTTATGTCCCTTTGACCTTCATGGAAAACCTTCTTAAATCCATAGTAAATCATTTAATGCAAGGATAGTAAGAACTTAGGAAAATTATAAGAAAATCATTTCAATTCTAAATGAATTAGAATGATATTGAGGCCATTGGTGATCATGGAATAATTTTTTTAAATGTTTGAGGTCATTTGCTTTGAAATTTAGCAAACCCTAAAACTATGTGAACTTAGGTTAATCTATGAACACAAAGAATTCAATAATCCATTAAAAACTTAATAAACTAATAAATGCATGAAATTAATTTTTATAGAACATAGATACACCAGAGACATGGGTGGGAAAAATAATAGAAAATCATATCAAGACTTGAAAATATGGAAGTAGCATCAATAAATCATTAAAAATTCAAGTCAACTCCAAATAAATTCAAATCTTCATGAAAAAGTCTTTAATTCATCAATGATTTATAGGCCAAAATTCATGAAGATTTGAGTTCATTTGATGGGTCAAAATTGTAACCGCTAAATTGAAGCCTTTTAAAAAATGTTAGTTCTTAAAAAAAACTTAAAAATAAAAAAAAAAATAAAATAAAAAAATAAAATAAAATAAAATAAAGAGTTGGCGTTATTCACAAATTTGAATTCAACACTTATGCTTCTTACTCTCATTTATTAATTACTCTTTAGCTCTTATAAAACTAAATTCCTATGAACATAAATTAAATTGTTTTGGCATCTAATTTGAAATTAACCCTAACAAAAAATTGTCATCTTCTAGTTAATTATTTACATCAAATTAAATAAGCTTATTTAATTTTTAAAATAGAGCATTTAGTCGCTTATATTTTTGTTTGTTATATACCAAATAAACCCTTAAAAGAAGAGTAAAATAGCCAGCAAAAATAATCCTCTCAAATTTGGAAACCCCCATTTCACAAAAAATTATTAAGTGCGAACACCGGACGTAGAGCCACTACAGGAAATTCAGTTAAAACCGGCGGTTTTTTCCGGCGGTTTTAATCGCCGGTCAAGGCCACCGGTAACAGCTGAATTTCCTGTAGTGAGCTACGTTCGGACTCCAATGAAAATATGACATGTGAATTAGTGTATTATTAGGTATAACTATGTATTGTTGTATATTAGCTGTGCCTTGGTATATATTAACTACGTATTATTAATATTAGCTAGTACATAGTAATATACAGCTAATACACACCAATACACAAATACACAGTAATACACAGTGTGTATTGATATGTATTAGCTATGCATTATTGTGTAATAGCTAATACTCAATAGCACACAAATAATATATACCAATATATAATAATATCTAATAGCATTTAATAATAAACTAATTTACACCATTTTTTTTTGGGTAAAAAAAAAAAAAATTCTCCCATTTCACCACCAGTTTACCGGCTAGGATCCACCGCAATCGTAACCGCCTCCTATTTTGTCCTCTCGTCTCCCTTCTTCATAGACGCTGCAAGCAATTGGTGGGCCCCGCGCTCCCTTCTCTTCATCCTTCCCTCCCTCATTTTCTTCTTCTTCTCATTGTCTCAATCCCCTTTCGTGTTCTCCTCCTCTCATTTTCGCAGAAGAATCTCACTTTCTGTCGTATTCTCTCTCATCTAGCGACTGAGATGACCGTCGTAAGGGGATTGGATGAAGAATTGACGAACGAGTTTGAAGAGGTGCGGCCTCCCACGCTGCGGAGCGTTGTCAGCTGCAATGGTCCACGGAGAACGAGCAACTTTACGTTTAGGGCACCGCAAGAAAACTTCACCATCGATGATTTTGAGCTGGGACCGGTCCTCGGCGTTGGTTCTTTTTCCAAGGTTTGGGATTTAATCTCTTATTCTTTTAAATGTGCCTTCTCTTTTGAATCGTTGGTTTCCTTTTGATTTTAATCTCACGTATTTGCAATGCTTCAGTACCCTGTGGATTGGACGGATCGAGACTTTTTTTTTTTTGGAGTGAGGGAATTATAAGATAGTAAATTAATAAAGAATTAAAAAATGTATCATTTAACTCAATAAAATAAATAATCAGAATGTCATATGATAACAAGAAAAAAGTGTTTAAACATGGGCAGTTATTAAAATAAAGAAGGAAGTTTAATGAGATTGAGGGTTTTAAAATGTAAATCAATATTATTGATTGAATCTGCCATTGTGGAGCACCACTTATGAGGAGCAAGTTCAGTGTCTTAACTGGAATTCTCTCAGCCCAATGGCGAAGGAATTCTATTTTTTCCAAAAACAAAAGCAATACTTGGTTACATATAGTTCAAAATACAACCATAACAGACAACGAATCTCTGAGTATTTAGCTTTGAATTCATGTAAATTCTCATAGATTTCATCCTTGATAAGACAAAGAAGTAGTGGACAAAGCATAGAAACAACTTTAGCCAGCAATGTCGCTGCAAGTCTAAGGCTACGTGCATGTGTCATTCCTCTCAATAAAAATAATAACGAATCAATATGATTACTAGTTAGAATTACCGCTACTTTGTTCTCTTTTTGACATCATAATCACTTTAGTTTTTAGCATATTTTATGAATGCTTGCATCTTTCTTTACTGCAGTCATATATAAATGAAATATTTCTGCTAGTAAATGGTATGTTTCATTTATAATTTGTTTGAGTTTTGTAGATTCAACAGTTTGCAGCTCTTGCCACAGTTTTGGTTCAAGTTTTGAGGCTTGGTTCCTTCTATCATGTGCTTTTTACGGCGAACATAGGTAAATGATTACCTGATTTGTCACCACCGACTTGTTAGAAGATTTTGTACCTTTGGCCCTTTGCTTCTATCTTTAGCAGGCTTGATGAAGGAGCATATGCCAGCGACCTAAACCCTTTAGGTTTATACTAAGTCGGTGGTGAAAAGTTATTGATCCAGACCTTTGTGTGTAACATATTTGTTTATGACGGAATCCTTTTAGTTCAGCCTTAAACTTTATGTAAACTTTGGGATAATTTCTTCAGTCTTTTCCTTTGTACTTTCATTCAATCCTCGTTTGATGCTTTATTGATTTATTGAAGGATTTGCAAATTTTGGATTTGGTCGATAGTACCAAATATAGGTAGTATCTTGATCTTAAAATGTTGAGGAGGCTTCAATCTGAGTTACTTGAGTTCATAAGATTAGGTGAGCTAAGATTTAATAGCTCTTCATCCTCTGGTTGCTGAAATGAGAGTTCATCTACTTCGGCCTTTTTTATGGCGTGTTGAGTAGACAGAGATGCCAGCGATCCACCATATTTGGGCGTGTTAGATCCGGCCTTTTACACTCATTCAGGCTTCAGACTTAAGTTATAGGAAATGCGTTTCCCAATATTGAATCTACTGAAGTTGGTAGATTTGGAGTTCCTTTTGTAGTTGAAGATTAGGGGTATCAATTTTTGACACGACTCGAACTTGACCCGAAAAAATCGGGGTTCGGGTCAACCCGAACCCGAAACGGGTCAGGTTCGGGTTCAACAAATCAACAAGTTTTAAAAATCGGGTCGGGTTCGGGTTGACCCAGCAACCTGAAATTGATCCGAAATTGACCCGAAAGTGACATGAGAACTCATATTTGACATGAAAACCCGAGATTGAGCCATTTTGACCCAATTTTGACCCGAAAATTGAATATTGACCTGATTTTTGACCCAAAAATTAGCAATTTTAGGTCAACTTCGGGTCATTCGTGTCGTGTCGGGTTGACACGGACCCGAATAGGGTCGGGTTCGGGTCCAGAAACCTGACCCGTTTTTAAAAATGGGTTGGGTTCGTGTTGACCCGAACAGTGCCTGGTCAGCTCCGGGTTCGACCCGAACCCGACCCGCTGACCCGAATTGACACCCTTATTAAAGATTTTGAAGCCTATGCAAATTTGGTAGTTGCTTACGACTCATCCTTCAACTATAACTTTGATTCTCCATTCAATTAGAAGAATTTTGTGGACTACGACTACTTAAACCTATCGAGTTAAACTAGACTTTATGCTTTTTACAGTCCATACTAACGGATTGACTAAATGGGAGTTCCGCAACTCGGCCTTTCTTATGGCGTGTTGAATAGACGGAGTTGCTAGCAATCATGCCATATTTGAGTTTGTTGGATCCAGTCACTTACATCCATTCGAATCTTAAGCTTCACTTTGTCGAAAGACTTTAAGCCATTTTAACTTGACTTGCTGGAGTGTGTAGGCATAAAATTCTCTTTCATGACACTTGAAATCTTGGTACATTGGAGAAGGTTGTATCCCGAACTTTTAGAAGAATCACTTGCATATGCATTAATAAAGAAAATTTTACATCATTCTACATGAAGGAATATTCTTGTTGATGATTTTAAATATTTATTTGGGGATATTGGCATGTAGCACGATATTGATCGGAATAAATGTTTAAAATATTCCCTGTCTTGCATGGATCATTTAGAAACTAAGAAATGCAAAATTTTAAGATTTTAAATTTTTATTTGGGAATCTCGGCATGTAGCACGATGTCGATCCGAATAAATATTTAAAATTCTCCCAATCTTATGAAGGATTTTGAAATGCATTCTTTCTACACAAGAGAATTTCAAAATATAAATATAGACATGCATTGATAAATATGCGCATAACACTTTGATCAGTATATTTTACATTGGACACGAAATTTTCATGCATGACATTCTTTAAATATCAGTCGTTGATTTGCGGTATAGGTCTTTGACCGTCTAGATTGATTAACTGATAAGCTCATCCTTGATACACCATCTTGACGACAAAGGGGTCCTCCTAATTGGATATGAATTTGTCACGATTTTTTCTATGTGGGGTAATTGTCATTCTCAGCACCATTATCAATCCCCCTTCTTGAAATGATCGATGATGTACCATTCGATTAAATGATTTTGCTATGCTTGCTGGATAAGTTTTCAAGTTTTGTTGAGCTTGTTAAGAGAGTTGCTACTTAGCTTTTGCATGTTTTACATTCTTGTAACTTGTATAGTTTTGATGATTCCATATATTATTATTTTAATTATTATTTTCTCCTAACACTTTTTCGAAGAATTGTTTTTGCTCCAGACTAATGAAGACTTCAAATCAAATTTCAGTATAAGATATTTTGTAAATTGAAGTCTGTATTTTTCATCTTTATTAAGTCTGAGAGAGTGTGATTGTAATTGAGTAACTTAACACACACACACACTGGGGGAGATCTTTACAAAAATCAATTTTTTTTATCATACTGATCGTACGGGACGAACCAAGTTCGTACGGGACGATCAGGTCAGTTATACCCTTCGGAGAGCAATGGAACAAACATAAAGTGAAGAAAAAAATTTTCAAGTCCTGATCATTCGGACGAAATGTCCCATTCGTCCTTGGACGATGTTCTCTGAATTCTCACTATTAAACTATTCGTCCAGACGATTTACCCAGTTCATCCTAGGATGATGTTCTCTGGACCCATGACTTGAACTATTCGTCCAGATGATTTACCTAGTTCATCCCAGGACGATGTTCTCTGGACTCATACCTTATTATGTTCGTCCAGACGATTTACCCAATTCGTCCCAGGACGATGTTCTCTGGACCCATGACTTGAACTATTCGTCCAGACGATTTACCTAGTTCGTCCCAGGACGATGTTCTCTGGACTCATGCCTTGTTAGGTTCGTCCAGACGAACTTGTGCATTCGTCCCAGGACGATGTCCTCTGTTGCTTAAACATATGGACCGTCTTGTAGTTTAGTCCCAACGAACCCTTGATATAACTGTTCGTATTGGACAAACTTAGTTTGTACGGGACGATTATCGGGTACGAAGTTATTTCGTCCCAATGCCATAGGGTTCGTACGCAACAGTTTTTACACTATTTGTAAGGACGGAATCACGATTGTACGGGACGATCAAGTACGCACATATTTGTAATTTAGTAATTTTTAGATGGTTGTTCGTGTCCTTCATATAAAAGGTCCATTTAAAATTATTTCTTTATCTTTTTGTCCATTGGTTTTCGTGCAAACTAAAGAGAGATTGAAGGAGAGAGTGTTAGAGAGTATTTGAAGGAGATTTCTTACCACTGGAGCGTGAAGGATTCACTTGGTACTCAAAGGTAAGGATCTTTGTTTTTAAATTGTGAAGGATTCACTTCACTCTTCTCTCTTGTCCTTCCAGATTTTTAGTAAGAAGATATTGTCAAGGAGATTCGGTTCTCTGCCGACACTCGAGGAGTGTGAACAACGAAGGGTACTTTGCCTACACTTGGAGAAGTGTGAAAGGATGAAAGGTTCTCTGCCTACACTTGGAGACGTGTGAAAGGACGAAATGTTCTCTGCTTACACTTGGAGAGTGTGAACAGCGAGAGGTACTCTGCCTACACTTGGAGGGTGTAAAAGGACGACGGTTCTCTGCCGCACCGGGTAATGGTGGAAGAAAATTTTTTTGTAAAGGCTTCTCCGCCTTGCTGTGGGAGCAAAAAAAGAGACACTTAGTGGTAATAGTGCAATATCTGAAGTGGGAGACTTCAGGGAGTGGATGTAGGTCGTGTTTGACCAAACCACTATAAATCTTGTCTTTTATTTTCCTCTGCTTTTTACTTTATTTTTTCTGTTTGAAAGTGTGGTTGAAAAATTGTTTTTATAAAAAATTCACTAAACTTTTTATCGGTTCAAAAAGCGACATAATTTTTAAATTACCAATTCACCCCCCTCTTGGTTAGCCACTGGGATATAAGCTTAGGTCTAACAACCTAATTCATACTTAACAAGTTTCAACAGAGCTTGCTGTCTAATCTTGTCGAGTGCATCGAGCTATTCCATTCTTAGACGAGCATTTTGCTCTTGCTTGAGA